GTTTTCAGGAGGGTTTCCCCTTCACTCAGAATTATTTCTTTTGGGCCGGGGGGGTGTTTGTTGGGGGCCCCCCAGAAAGAAATTTAATTGGGGTTGTTAGGGGGGGGTTGGAGCGGTCCCCCCATCAAATAATTTTTTTTTTTCGGAAAAGGGTTATTTTGGGGGTTGGGGACCCCCCCCCCCCCCCCGGTGCCCCAAAAAAAAGGGGGTTAAACCTTCTTTTTTTTTTTTTTGGTTCCACCCCCGCCAGAAAAATTCCCCCCCCGGGCCCCCCCCCTTGTTTTTGGTTCCTTTACCCGGGAACCCCCCCCCATTTGGGAATTTCCCCGGGTTATTTTTGGGCAAACTTCAGGGACAACACTTTTTTTTGCGCGCCCCCTTCCCCCACAAATTCCCCTTCTTCCCGGGGTTCCCTTGGTTCCCCATTTTCTTGTTATTCTTATTCTTCTTCTTCTTCATTTCTTAATATTATTATTGTTATTATTCTTACTTAATATTTTCTTCTTGGGGAAAACCCGGGGGGGGTTTCCCGACCCCACCCCCCCCCCCCAAAAGGGAGGTTTACCGGGGGGGGGGGGGGGGGGGGGTACTCATAGCCGTGCATGCCGTAGTCCTTAGATCATTGACCGGGGGTGAGTAGGAGGGGCGTACTCATGTTTTGCGTGCCTTAGCGGTTAGGTCGTTGCCCACACGCGTCCTCGAGAGGACGGAGCATTGTTCCCACAGGACCGATCACCGATGGCCAATCGTTCCTTCCTCTTTCGCCAAAGGTGGCTCAAAAATGTTTTCCCTAGCCTATCTGTCCGTGGGGGCGGGAGAATCGCATACCTTCTTGCGTTGAAAGTGTACGGCAAGCAGCGCTAGCCCAGAAAAACGGCAATTGTTTCGTCCCGTGGGATCTAGCTAGGGCAAGGCGCTTCCAAGCGCATCTACGTTCAACATGAGCATCAAACTGAGATGCGCTGGTACACGCGGACGGATGGCTACAAGTAACACGTGTTTTGTTCTGTTAGTTTTGTGGTTGCCCGACCGCGCTGGCTTGCCGCTGGCTTGCCGCTGGCTTGCCGCTGGCTCGCCACTCCGACTTGCGAAAAAACACCTACAAGTACAGCCCATCTGCGCCATCGTATACCACATCGTTTGCAGCGACAAGAAAAACAGGACGTGGATGGGAAAAAAAAGGGATGCGGAAAGAAAGCAGCTGGTCTGCATCTCCTACCTGGAAGTACCGGTAAGTGTCTCCACGCCACGTGGCGTGGACAGGCTGGGCCTGACAGCCGTACCCTTCCTGCACCCCGGTATGGACGCAGCTTCCCTGCCGGCAAAACGCACCGTCGGCACCGGGAAAAAACAAAAAGCACGATACAAGGACGGGTGCGGGGGTGGGTGCGGGGAAGAAGGCGCTGAGCTCCTACACGCCAACAACCCCAGCGCCCTGCAACAACAATTTTTCGCCCGTCCGAGCGACGGTTTCTGTTGCCGCTGGGGGGGGGCTCATATCGCAAGGGGCGCAGGCGTGCTTGGGCTAGCTTTACTGCCGCCGGAGGGGGGGAGAGGGACGGGGGTGGATGCATACACGGCCGAGATGGAGTCAAGCGTGAAAGAAGAGAACATCGTGAGCACGAGACTACAGCAAGGGAGGTGCACATGTTTCGGCGGGGTGTGAAGGCTAAAGTACGTTCGATTGGACCCCGTGTGATGGAAGAAGGCTGACGGGAAAACTATCAAACGCCAAGATGGAGACGGAAGGTGTGGTCAAGGGCGGCCTTTCTTGTCGGTGCAGTCCGAAAAAGGCAGGAAACCAAAACCCTTCGCAGGAAACCAAACCAGCGTCACCACAACAAACACCACCCAGGTAAAAAAAAACATCGTGCAAACCCCGACTGAAATTTACGAGGCGGCCGAGAGACCCCCGGCTCTTCAAACACACCTCGACGCAGGCGTCGAAGCTGCACGCGTCCCCGTCGTCGCAGTCCTCCGCGGAGTGGCAATCCCGGGGAGCGTACTCCACGCTGCCCTCCCACACCGCCCCCCGGTCTCCCACCGACAACGAAAAGCTCGCAGCTGACAGCTCCCCGCCCCCCCCCTCCTCCTCCTCCTCCTCCTCCTCCTCCCCCTCGCCCTCTACTACGCCCCTACCCTCTACGCGTTCACCCCCACGCCGGCCATCACCATCGAGGTGTCTCCCCCTGCGGACAGGGGGCTTTTGGCCCAGCCCCGCGCCCGCCCTATCGGAAGACTCCGTCTCCGCCTGATCCCACACCAACACCGGAACGGTGCACTGTATTCGTTCTTGCTCGCGAAGCACGCTCCCGTGGCACAGGAAATTGGGATCTATTGAATGGCGAGGGCGGCGGGTGTGTTCGGCGAGCCAACAGGGAGGGGGGGGTGGGGGGCGTGAGAGTGAGAATCGCCGCTTCATTCATAAAAAAAATAACTCGACATGCAACTAACTGCTTGTGCCGCCTCAAGCATTGTATCCGAGGCCGAACCCAGAACTGCTCCCCCTCTCGTCACCCTTGTTCGATGAGGAACGGGTAGCCCGTGAGATGCCGTCCACTGCGCTCCGGCCGATAACCCACATTTTTTAGACCTTTCCGTAACCAGGACCCGCAGGGTTGTTCACCTCGCTGATCCAGGGGGGCGTCAGTCATGAGTACTGTAACAGGGGGAGTGGTGTCGGAGGCACTTGCCTGCGTCTGGTGGCCGGCAGAGGTTGACCACCATGCTGTGCGGCTCCCCCTGGAGCTCGAAGCGCTTCGGCAGGCAGCGGTGGTCGCAGGGGCAAGAGCCTTCCGTGCCGTCGCATATCGGCAGGCAAACCTGTCGTGTCGCGATCGTTAAAAAACACGGCAATCATTCAGGGGAGGCGCTCGCCCAGGGGGGAGAGGCAAGCCATTCGATCCGTGAGGCAGAACCGTGGTTTGGCACAGATATCCGCCAGATAGACAAGATGGTGACACGGGGCGGCGGCCATCATTGCGGTACAACCTTCCACGCTGAAGCAGTGAAACCGTCGTGGCCGAGATTAAAAAACGTCCCGTCTTTCCCCGTCGACGTACATCGCAGACTCTCAAGACATCAGAGACTACTTGCATCCACGAAAAACTCAACCTGCCCGCACGCTACGAGAGATAATCCAAGACATAGGCTCATGTCAACTGCAAAACACTACCCGGGAAGCCGTGCGCGCGCTTCTATTGCCAGAGTGCACACACAAACGCACACCCTCACGGGGTCCCAGCTCATGACCTTTTCTTTATTTTCAACCGCAATGAGACTGTCTTTTCATTGGTAAGCACGATCGATGCTAACAATAAAAAAGCACACCCATACACATACAAATACACATACACATGGGGCCCACCTTTTCCTTGGACAGGCCATCCTCCATGCACATCTCGTCGAACTCGCACCGGTCCTCCTCGCCGCACGGCCTGCACACCAGGTGGCACAGCTCGGGGTCCCGACAGTCCCGCCCGCCGACCATGACCCGCACGTCCGACACCGCCTCCCCGAACCCGGAGCCCACCACCATAAGGGCCTCCCCCGCCTTCACCACCTCCGGACCCACGGACACGATTGTCGGCCGCACCGGCGGGGCTGGGGAACCGTCGCCCGCCTTCTCTTCCACTTCCGCGGCAGGAGCCGTCGGGGAAAGTGTCGGCAGGGCTGCGGTTGTGCTGCCGGGGGCAGAGGCAGCGTCGCCCGGGTCCGAACCGTTGACCGCTGGTGCCGGGGTTGATGAGTCCGCGGGCGCGGCGAGCGGCACGCTCGGCTCTTTGCACGTGTATATGCTGGACGGACAGCGGTGCAAGCAGCAGACACAGCAGTGGGGGGGGTTACACATTGAACACAAGGAGAGAGTATACCGTGCGTTTTGAAACAGGTGTGCAAGGAACGGAGGACGGCAGGCAGCAGGGGTGACCTTGGTGGTGAGGGAAAGTATGCAATGGCCGCAGCTCTTAAGCGGAGAGCCGAAACCTTGTGGTGATTACGAAACCTGGCGTGTTTTTGTTGTTGCTGTTGCATAGGAATTCCAACGTGTAACACCAACCCAGCAATAGGATGCAGATGGCGCTCTTTGTCGTCGTCGCCTAACCCTATCCCTAAACCAACTCGTTCCCGGACACGAACCAGCAGCAGCCGCACAATATCTCACCTGTAGTCGTCCGGAGGGACTCCCACGTACCCGCCGTAGTTTGAAAATGTGTCCCCGAAGGCCAGCGTGTAGCAGCCGCGAGGCCCGCACCACATCCCGGGAACGCAGCACCCCGCCAACCCGCCGGGCCTCTCGAGCTCCAGACCCAGACCGTTGGCGACCACCGTCACAAGATTCTCCGACCAAAGCGGCCGCGCCGGTGGCGGCGTTGCTGCATCGGAGGAGGAGGCGTTTCGCGGCGTGCTGCTTGCAGCCCCTTCGGGTGCTTCTTCCGCCTGCTCTGCTGCTTGCAACGCCGGCAGTGTCTGCGCGTGCGGCCGGGATGCGTGTGGGTGGGAGAGAGCTGTGAGCGAGTATCTACATGTGCTGGGCGAAGGACGAGGGGGTCAGGCCTCTCGTGAGGTGTTGCTGTGGTAGCCGAACTGCGGCTGCACATGTGCATACAGCGGGAGATAGATGCGTCTGTGCTGCGGGGAAATGAGTTTTGTTGCGTCGCACTGGCACCCACATCTCTCTCCAGAATCGATGCGGGTTCCGTAAAGCTGCTGCTGCTGTGATGTTGTGTCGATGCTAACTCAGGGAGTACGCGTGGATCCAATTCGGGCTATCATAGGGAGGGATGATTGTCATAATCCTCGTCGAAGGTGCGGCGTCCGAGATATGGGATATCGGTCATGTCTGCCGTCGTACCAGCGTGGTCCCCTGCTATAGTAGTCTGCACCGCCTGTAAGCTCTACAGTAACGCTTGTTCGCTGCACCCATTTCGGGTGTGCTCATCATTTCCGCTGGTGCAAAATCCGAAAAAAATGAAAACTGCACTGCATGTAACGACACGGAAAAAATGTCCAATTCCGGTCCCGTCAAACGTTGGGCAGAGAACCGAGAGAGAAGACAGAGAGTCAATGACCACCCAAGCTAGCAGTCGTAGTGATGTCACGCACAGCAGTAGTTGCGGGCCTGGATACCACATTTTTCAATACAGTCGAGAGTCTAGGTGGTAGGTGTCTGCTTGTGTATGTAGTCACGCTGTTGAAATATTTTCAAGTCTTCACTTCACGTGACTACCAGCAGCCAACTTTATGCACACTGCGAGAGCTCAAGCTGCAGCGATGTGATGGTGTTGGCGATTGTTACGACTAAGCTTTGGCTCTCCATCCCTGATCACACCCCGTGCTGCACGTGCTCGTATCATCCTGCTTTAGTCTGCCGCACATACATAGTCTGCTGCACACATTTTATTGCAGAAGTACCTGATCTGGTAGGAAAATATCTGGCGGCGTGGGATCAAGCCCATTCCTGAGGCAAGCCGCCGCGTGCCCCTCCCGCGTGTCTGCGGCCTTGACCCAGTACAAAGCGCTTCCCTCCGTCAACGTGAAGGGTTCGTCCGCTAGTGGTAGTAGTGCCTCCGCTGCAGCTACAGCAGTCGACTTTGCACGAAGGCAGAAGGTTCCAAAAGAAACACTTGCTGCAAGTGCTCTTCCCATAGAGGAGAGACGCTGCTGCGGAGCACGTTGTCGTTTCATGGCTGCCGCCGCCGCGCCGCCGCGGGAAAGGATGCAAGGCGACTGGGAGGCACAGAGGCCTCAGGGGGCTTCAATGACTGCCTCCCCAACTCCCCAAGAGATAACCAGCGGGGACTCGCGATTGGTATTCCGAGAGGGGGTTCATGCCATGTTGGGGCCGCCGCCAAGGCAGAAGGCCCGAGAGGCATGCGCCACACCGTCCAGCCGGTCGTCCTCCTCTGTCAGTCGTGCAAGTCTCCGGGTGGGCAGACCCACACTTGATCTAGTGCTGGGTACACTCTCCTTGTGGGTGCCCTGGAGACCTTCCCAGAGGTAGGTGGTCCTGTGTGACCATCTGTGTCTATCGTGGATAGGGGAGAAGGCGGACCTTTCCTACACCTGTCACACAGAGAGAGATACGTAGGTACTGCTGTAGCTGTCATCACACCATTTGTGTGTACATACCCGTGACTGTGTGTGTTAGACAATCGTGTGTGCGTGTTTTAGCGACAGCATCAGTGCTACAGGGACATCTTGTACGGGAACGGCTCTGTCGATACCTCGGGGCCCTCCACGAAAATCATCAAGTCTCCATCTAATCTAAACGCAGGAACTACTTGCGTGTGTTGCATTGCATCCCTCTCATCGGCCGAATTTCGCCGCAGGTCCGGTACAGCAGTAGTGTACACATACATATGTATACCGTTCTCGTCATGTAGGATACTACGACACACCGGAGGTGTACGGTGGCGGACTGCTACCGATGGCATGCCAATACATCTCACAGGAGGTGGTGGTTGGTCAAGCTCTCCGGGAATGACATACACCTTGCTGCAGCAGCAACAAACTGAAAGTTATCGCCGGAAGTTCCCGAAGTTTGTCCCATCCCCGTTGAAGTTGTACTGGTACATACTGGTGTTTTGTAGCCCGCGATGCCGAATGCATCGCGTAGATCGCCTTGATTGTAGTTTACTCCAAGTACATGCATCTGGATTGCATTGCAGCGGGTGTAGCTGGCCGTAAGTACGTTTTCGAAGCAAGCGTCATCACAGGGAGTTCCCACGCCCATTCTCGGAGTGCAATGTATTCATTAGGAAACACATAAATACAAACACAGAAAGACTACCCATTATTGCATGTGAAGACAGTAGTAGTTGGGGTTGAGTCTGTTTGCTGGTCCTTCCAAGGAGTTGGTTGGGACGCACGTGCCCACAGTCCCAACAAAACTGAAGACTTGTCTGTGGATAGAGCGAACTTGTTGTACAAAAGCAACCGGAGAAGATCATGTGTCTGCCTTCGTGCTCCAAACGGCTCTCATGCTGTCCGACAGCAACGGCCGTTGCAGCGTTGCAGCCAATGTGGCCAGCCCACCAGCAGCAAAGAGAAAGTACCTGGTACCAGGCATGGACGACCAACAAGATGCAGCCATAAAGCTCTGGGCAGACTCGGTTGCTCTTTTTCCTTTTTCAGGCTGCGTGAGGCGAGAGAGAGGGAAGGAGAAGAGAGATGGACGGAGGAGCAAAAGCTGCAGGCGGCGGGGCCGAAGTCGTGTTCCGGAAGGTTGCCGCTGGCGAATCGAGGTTGTGGGAAACGAAGCGGATCCAGCATGCCGACCTTAACAGGCTTCATCTTCGGTCGATAGAATCCATCCTTGACCCCACGGTCTCGGCCGACAGCATCATCGGTGAGTCACACACACAGATACACAAGCTATTTCATCTGGAGAGTAGCTTAGCCTAGCCTCCCCCATTACGCCTCCTCACGGAGCCGCAGATCTAAATAGCCGCTTTTGGAAGAATTTTTGGGTTTTCAATCTCACTGAGACTGGCTTAGTTTGATTGGTCAGGCGGTTAGCGCGGTCGATGCTAATAAAAAGTACACAAGCAGTGTGTGCACGCTTTTTCTCCTGTCTCGTATTTTCAAACTGCATAGGTGTTGTTGGTGGACCTGCGGAACACTCGTCAGTGACGTGGCTATTTGAAGTATGTAACCTCGACTGACACGTGAAACATACGCAAGAGATGTGCGTAGATTGGCGCCAGAATAAATGGGACGAAAACATGCCGACAACGCACCTAGTCCGCGTGGCACGATAAGCGTCTTGCTTGACAACCGTTGGAGAGGAAATACAGAGCACCTCTCTGTACCAGCTTCCGGTGGAGGTTGTTGGTGCAGTACCGAGCGCGTTGCTCGCGCCGTGTCTTGCTTCCTCTGCGAGATGCTGGAGGTTCTCCCGCATCACCATTGCCTGATAGACACCCTTCGACAGCAGTAGGTGCTATGGATGACTGCGTCTGCGTCGGCACGGACCGGTTGTGCTCTCTGTGGTGCGCGTAGTGCGTGGAGTTCGACGTGTGGATCTTTTGTCTGCAGAGAGACGAAGCAGGTGTTGCGATGCTGCGCGGCTTCAGGTTTTTCTATCTCGTACAAGTACCACCCCGCTTACGCGAACCCCAAGAGCAAATGGGTTCCAAATGTTTATTACCCAATGGTTTTTGGCGGTTGTTGCTCTTGCTCAGGCGCGGTAGCGTATGCCGTAACTAGCCACGGGCTGCGAGTGACCCAGCGAGAGCAAGGGCGCATCGTGGCCCAGCGCGTGGAAGCGCCTTACCTGGCGAGTGTCTCCTCGGGGAGCTGGCGCTCCGGTTCCGGCCAAGAGAGGGAGGAGTGGAGGATGGTGGTGGCAAACGTTGGGGTTTCCAAGGGGGTGGGGGAAGGAAAGATGGTCGAGCGGGTGCTCTCGGTGTCTTTCATGACGGACCCCGTTCCGAAACCCACCGACCTTGCCGGAAAGGGGGCGGCGGCGGTATCCTCGCTCCTGGGCTCGGTTGGCTCGATCGCCTCGACGTTCAGCTCCTCGATGACCTCGAGTTCTAAGGATGGCCCGGCGGGCAGCAGCGCCGGCAGTGCCGGCGCGGCGGCGGGGAAGGCGGGGGCGGCGAGCGGGGCTGCTTCTTCGCTTACCGCCGTCGAGATCGCGAACGTGAGAAGCAACCAACGCGCCGACTCTCTTCTCCAGGCGGTCGTGGCGGAACTCGGCAGAGTCGGCTGGCAAGGCGCGGTAGACCGACGAACAGGCACCGCCGCCACCGCCGCCGCCGTTGTTGGGCCTCGCGGGACGAAGCCGTCGCCGGGGTCGCCGGGGCCTGAGCAACAGAAGGCGGCGGAGAAAGGCGAGGACGCCGGTGACGGCGCCAGGCCCGGCGAACGGGCCGCTTCCATGCCGCAAGAAGTTTTGGTGCTTGCGCCGTTCGACGGCAGCAACAGCAGCAGCAGCAGCGCGTCAGGCTCCGTGGCGTCGGCGTCGGCCCTCGGCCCTCTTTCTCCCGAGGAGGAGGGGAGGGAGGGAGAGAAGGCGGAGGGCCCTCCCCGGCAGGAGGAGGACCAAGAAACCGGAGTGCCGGAGGGCGGCGTAGCGACGGCCGGTGCCGGTGCAGACGCGGTCGTTGCGGCCGCTGCTGCTACTGTCGTTGAGGTGAGGTTGCTGCGGCAGACCCAAGGGTCACGACCGGTGTGCGGGACAAATGCTTGTTGATGATATGCAGCGTCACGGGGGCGGCGCTTGTTTCGAACCCCGGTAGTCGCAGGAGAGGGATGTACCGGTGCATCTTCGAAAATGTACTTCGAAGTAAAGATGGAGCTTGGTGAGGCTTAGGTTATGGGTTCACGAAAAGCAGGCAAATCAGCACGCCCGACACGAACGCTCGTACACGAGCAAATATATCAAGAATGCATCTCTTTGGCCCGCATCTCCATGACGTGTGCGAAACGTTGGACGTGTTTGTGAACAGGTGGGACTGTGCCTACAGTTCGTGGAAGGGCTTTGTGCGCGGGCCGAGGAGTATAGCAGGCACGACGCAGCCGAAACGTGGAGGCCGCTCCAAGACACAGTTTCCAGGCTGTGAGTTGACCATGATGACTCATCGGGTGTCGATGCGCCAGTGAACTGCACCTCTTCCCGACGCTGTCCGCAAGGGCTTGAATGCTCGAGCGTTTATTCTGTCTTGTATTTTGGTTCCTCCTTGCCCGTGCAACCACAGCAAGAACACGGGTACAGGTCAATGGCATTCCAAAATAGTCGGTGTACCGGCCCTCGTCTGATGGCTGTTGTTTTGCCACGCCACACTGCGTGTTTGTTGTAGGGGAGAGTAAAAACTGTCCCGTCTGTCGCAAGTCAACCAAAGCCCGATTCACGCCGCTGATAGCTGACCTCTTTTTTATGTGCGGGATTTCGACCGCCCTTTGTACATGTGTCCAGGGAGCGTGACAACGCGACTCTGCGTTCGCTGCTGGAGCCCAAGTACCGGGCCGTGGGAGCAGCGCCCCCGCCAGTGCCGATCTGGTCCGGACGGCGAAGCTTCGGCGAAACGTACGGGTCGTCGGTGGGGTCAGCAGCTACCAACGTGGGAAACGCCCCCAGCAAGCGGGTCGTCGAGCTGCTTCGGTCGACCCCGCTGTTCGTCATAGACGGGAAGCAGGTCAAGGCGAAGGTGGTATCGACGGCGGCGGCGGCGGCGGCGGCGAGCGGCGCTGCCAAGCGGGACGGCGAGCGACAAATCGACGGAAGCAGCTCTGCTACGGGTTCCGCGGCTTCCGATCTGGGCGGGAGTCGTCGGCATGCCTTGCTGGTGCGGGCGGCCGTCAAAGCCCTCACGGAGGTGGTGGGCCGAGTGTGCGAATCCCGCGAGGAGGCGTTCTTAAAGGCCCGCCTCCCAGGCGCGCAGGCCTACACGGTGGAGCTGGAGAGGTATGGGTCCACGATCGCGGGCGGGAGCGCGCTCAGAGCCACCGCCTCGTCTCCGGAGCGAGACTGGGCCAGTGCCGGCAGCGTGGAGGTCGACGACGACCTGTGGCGGCTCTTCGCCGCGCAGGAGACGCGGTTGTACAGCTCGTCGGCCGCCCTGGGGAAGAAGCCCGGGAGGCTCTACGTGACTTACAGCACGCTGTGGTTCCATTCTAAGGTGGGCGCCGAAGCAGTGGGGTTAACTAACCCTCGGTGGCTATGTGGAGAAGAGCGCATGTTGGTTTCGAGCTCACCCGTGTTTTTAGTTCGGCCTTTTTTTTTACATACCATTCTCCTTTTTATTAGGGGTGTTTTGTTCGTCAGGTGTTGTTTCGATCCAGGTATAGCTTCGTGTCTTGGTTTAGCGAGCGGGGGAGTGGGATTCGTTTTGGGCTTCGTGAGGCACGCGTGCCTGCGTCGTTTGAAACCAGCAACGGCGACGTAACTCACTCACCCTTCATCCTCAAAGCGTTGATGCGGGGTTTGCCCTTCGTGGTTCAGCACATGTCTACTCTACTTTTGTTGGTGCGCATACCCACTGGCCTCGGCACACTTTAGCAGGTCCGAGGCCTGTCCTGTATGCACAGGCCATCGCTCTCATCGACGCTGACAAGAGAGAAAGATGTGTCGGCTGTCTTTGTGGCTCACTGCTCCACTCGCCGCACACCCTCTTGTTTTCTTTTTTGCCCATTCGCCTTCGCCTGGCTCGCCTTGGAACATACCCTATCGTCTTAAAATGTCGGCAATAATGCACAAGGTCTTGGGGTTCGAATCGAGACACGTGCTGCCTCTTGCCGAGGTGGTGTCCATCACTCTGCTGGGCACGGCGCTCGACCTCTCGTCGAGCCTGGTCATCGCCACCAACAGCGGCGGGGTGCCTGGGGAGCTCATGTTCATCTTCCCGGGGCAGAAGCGGCGGCAGGTGGAGCCGCTGGAGGTCCTTCTCCGGCAGCTGGCGGTCCTCGCCGCCAAGGAGAGGGCGGCGACGGCGGAGGCAACAGAGGCAACAGCAGCAGCGTCGCCCGACGTTTCGTCGTGATGGTGGAGGAAGGCACGGCAACGGCATGGTGCTGTTTAGGAGCACGCAACCAACAAAGGAAGGGGTGTGTGCGCGGTACATTCGTTGAGACGGGTGTTCGAGAGGGACTATTACTGCTGCGCGATGGTGTTTGAAAGCCAGCCGGCGACGACGAGAGCGAGGTGTTGGTGGTGGCTTAACGTGGGGGTGGTTTCAGCAGGTTGAACGGCTCGATCCACTCGTTTTGACGGTCGCAGAATAACCTGTGTTGTCCCGGTGTTACCGTTATCAAACCAACAATAAAAAAATGCGGGAGAAGAATTTCGGGGAAGACGACACAAAACAGCGCACACGCTGGGTGCGCTTGCGAACGTCCGGCTCTGTCTTTGCCAAAACTTCGCTTCGGGGGGCGACGGAAAGGGGGCGGGCGGGAAAACCTTCCCCACCTCGAACAACGCAGGAATCCGAAAATATTTGTCGGCAGACGTGTCCGGCGGGGCTTCTCCCCATACGGGAATGCTTTCACACTTTCGGCAGAGGCGCGAAAGTATTATATTTAGCTGTTTATTGTTAGAGTTGAAGAGAAACACAACGTGTCAATGAGGCCACAGGCGGGCGGGGTTGCACTCATGTAAATCCGTGCCATAGGCGACAGTCAGGCGGGGTGGGATGATGGAGAACGTCAGTGTCTCGGCGCTGACAAGCCTTGAGAGCGGTGAAAAATGCCGGGCATGATACAGGTAAGCGTTCTTCATTGGCGGCGCTTCGCGACCTTGCCACGAAAGGACGATATTCGGAGCGTGAGAGTGCAGGCCAGTTCGAAAACGAACGGCCTTCAAGCTTCTATCGTCGGGTATATTTTCCGATAGCAGCCAGTGGATGAGAATTTTGGGCTTCAAAAGGTGTAGATAATCAAAATCGGAGTTTGCTTTCGTGCACATATTGTCCCAAATCTACTCTATGGACAAGTCGCGAGGCAACACCAAAGCCTGGCCACTTAGGGAGACTTCAAGCCATGCCAAGTTCTCTGTCGTGTGGCGGTCGTTCGTGAGTGCAACCTTGCAGCCTTTCGTTTCGAATGCCATGCGTCGAAAGCTGGGGATCTTGGTTGAGGATCAGTTTTGAAATCATCTGTTGTGTATTGCTGCGTATACGCAACAAAAATGCTCCATTGCGTGCATCCTTTCCTGGCTCCCTGGACACACCTGTTGTGTGGCTTGGACTTGACTTCACATTGGCAATGATGTTTCGTGTTGACGCCAGCTGTACAGCAAAGACTTGCTGTAGTAGTCTCTGCAATTGTCGATAGTCAATACTCCTACAACACCCTAGATGCAATTCTTTGGCGTACATCTCTTTTCCTCCCCCCATCCCCCCACCCTCTGTAAGGTCTCTCTGTGACTGCCGCCTCTTCCATCGTCCCTTCCTCCCTCATGCCGGCCACCGCCGCCTGCTCTACCTCGATTTGCCCACTCAAGAACACCCAAACATCCAAAGCGCCGCCCCCACCACCACAAGCCTGTGTGGCCATAGGGTTCGACTACAAGAGTAGATAGAGTGATGGTGAAAGGAACCACCACCAGCCCACGACAGGGTGCACCGGCGAAATCTCGCGTTCCGTCGTCACGAACGCTCCTCTAGCCAAAACATCCTACCCTACGGACTAAACCCGCGTCAGGTCCACTCTTGCTACGACAACAGCAACGTCCACGACATACTTTGCGTTCATGATCACCCCTCGAAACAAAAAAAAGGGATACGCATACCAAGCCTTTTAGCTCAAGGTACCCGGCCCATCGTGTTTTTCCGTCCGCCGCATCATATTCATAGCTCCGTCCGTATCGTCCATCGTGATTCTGGCACAACACGCGACACAACCTTGCTCCGCCCATTCACAGTAAAATCACAAAAACAACTTGAGAGGGTGCAATCGCAGCTGGCTCCATTTTAGTAGTCAAACAATTATTCAACCAAATTATTTAGCCATGCAGTCAAACAATCAATCAATAACGAGAAAACAACACGTTTGCGTACCTCACCACCCTAAACACCGATCGATGTGAACGCCCCTCTCCCCTTTCCAAACTGATCGATGTGACCTCTGTTTCCGATCAGCCGGTCGACCCTCCAAACGTTTTCGTCACCTCAAGTATAGGCCAAGAATACCAACGACCCTCGGGGCGGCGGAATGTCGACAATTTTGGTCTACACCACGATGGTTTCGGATTGTCAAGGTTATCAAGCCGAGCAATCCTCTCTCATCCCCGCACAGTGGCCTTGTAACAGACCTCCCCGATCTCCCTCCTTCGATAGAGTACATAATATAAGTGGTACCTCTCATGCGCATTTTTTGTAAGTGGTGTCAGTTGTTAGATGGAAACAAAACCTAGAGCACGACGTGAGGTGTTTTGTCTTTAGAAATATCGTGGGGGCCGCGTGTTGTCTATAGCTGGTCCTCTTTCTTGCTTTGGCGCCCGCGGCACTCCGGCGCCCGGCAAGCGCACTCCATGGCCACCGCCGCCCCTCCGAGGCCAACGGTGTGACGGGCGGCGTACGAGTACAAGAGCTCCTCTCCGGCGGGAATCTTCCTCAGGGAGAAAAAGCAAACGCGCCTCTCTTGCGATTCCCCCTTGCCCGCGGTCACCTGCGGCGGGGAACAACAACAGAAAGAGACCAAAAGCGCAGGGGTACACATGGGGCGGGAGCAACTCAATCCTGAAGAGGTGCCCAGGCTTGTGAGTTTCTCGCGGGACAAGGCATGCTTGTGTCGACGTGGCGGGAAGAGTGTGACGGTGTAACTTCAAGAAAACGCGTTCCGGAATCGTGTTACGCACTCGGCGATGCACCAGTGCGCTTCTTGGGCACGGCAGCTCAAGGTAGAATCAGTCCTACCTCGTGCAGTGTACCATTCGAGGGTGCGCCCACCCACAAATATACATGAGTGCTCAATAGCAGGGAGTCCGCGCGAGCCTTCGCGCCCCCCCCAATCCTGTTTTCCATTCTACCGTTTGCCAGCCATCCTCCTTGGCCCGCTTACCGATCACTGGTGTCACAACAACAGGGGATCATGTATTCCATGCCATGTACGTCAAGACTTCAAACGGTCTCGCGCGTCCACCGCTCTAACATCCCAAGACCTACGGGGTGTAGTCTACATCGCAAGCAGCTCACCGCCAGCAGGTAGACGTTTGGGCCGCATGAGTGGTTCAAGAACCGAGCGAGGTTCCCCTTGCGAGTGGCGTCGATGAACACCTCGCCCTCCCCGGCGCGAATAACGTGCTCCTGTGGGCCATAGACGGAAGCAGCAAAGAGAGTGGCGCGGGGAATCCCGGAAATAAGGGAAGGGAGGCGTTGGCCGGGCAACGCTGCTGCTTCGGCGTGCAAGTCGCCGCAGTCGGTAGATATTTTTTTCTCAGGGACAATACGTACGTGCTGGCACGGGGTGTGCCCACGTCACCTTTCTTCTTCGGCTTCTTCTTCGCGCGCGGGTTGGTTCGGTTTAGTTTTTCGTGCGCTTCCCTGCAGCGGACCCCACGTGGGAATCAAGCTGTACCAGGATGGCGCAAGTGCTCACGTGATAAGTTACCCAGGAGGCACAGAGGATCGTGTCAAGCCACCGCGGACCCACGAAGACTGTCAAGAGGGGACCCGTTTTACCACCAAGGCGCATAGCTGTCTCGTTTTGGCTTTTCCCCAATCGGTACATTCACCTTCTGCACGTAGCCCGTCCCTCGCTCTCACCTGGAACTTCGTCCTGCGGTACAGCGCCACTCGCCTTTCCGCCTCAGCGAGCTTCACCACCTCGCCTACGTACTCGACTACAAGCTCGTGGGCGCCGATGGCTTGGGTGGTGAAGACACCGAGCCCCTTGTGTACGATCGGCAGCGTTGTTGCGACAAGAAGCAGGCATCAGCATCTTCGAGTGCCGTGAGCGTCACGCACCACGCACAAATTTCCGCCGGGCTCCGTACGGTATGGCCTTCATTTTTTTTAGAAGCAAACAACTCACCCAGGTCGCAGCCAATCTGCAGGCCCACCCCGTAGTATCTATTTTTATCAGAAGCAACACACCATCGAAGGAGCAAGAGTCTACAGTAGCCAAGATGGGACTCGGAGGAGGATGTGGTAAGGTGCTCTGCGGGAGGATATTGGTCCTTTACCGTTGAGATTCGATGCCTGGTTTCCAGCCGAAACACCTCAAGGGGGAGAGCCCTTGGGGATTTGGAATTTTCTCCCTGACACCCAGAACTGCTGTAGCCGTAAGAAACCGCACGAGCAGAACCATGCATAATTGTACGAGGGGTATAGCCCGCGACAAGAGTGTGAAGCGGGGTACAGCCCCCCCCCCTCCCCTCTCTCTCTCTCTCTCTCTCTCTCTCTCTGTCTCTCTGTCTCTCTCCCTCTCTCTCTCTCTCTCTCCCATCTTACACAACCCTCCCCCATCCGCCCCCTAGCCCTCTAGCCCTCTCCTCGCACCTGCACTGCGGACTTCCCCAAGCGTAGGCGTGTCCTCGACACAACGGCTACCTCCTTCAGCAGGCCCCGGAACGCGCGCATGTGCCGCGCCGCTTCCTCCCCGAACCGCTGCCTCGCCCCGTGGGCCGCCTGCAGCACTTTCCACTCGGGCACCACCACCTTCGCAGCCTCGGGCTTAACCTTAACTTTCCCCCCGAGGGTGGGGTTGGGGCCTCTGGGCACCTGAACGAGGGAATGGCAATGGGGAAATCCAAAACTAAACAAGACCATGCGTGGACCTCAGCAGGGAAGAAGTGGGAGTGAGAAGGGTTTGACCATGCTGGCACTACTGTGCCAATTCATTATGCGGGGGAGCTACAAAAGCCTTGGCTCTTGGCTCCCAGTCGGGCCGGTGATGACTCATCTAGTGAAACGCCACCACCTTCCGTGCCATGATGCACGTGATCAACTCAAATAGTCCTACTAAATAGTTGACGCATGTGCATGTCGATCGATATCGTCTGTACGAGCAACCTACGGCGTACCGGCTGACGGACGGGTGTGTGGGAAAGGAGCTCTCCGTCCGGGGCGGCAAACTGCCGGGTAACGGGAGTGGGCAGCGGGAGCGTGTATGCCTTGCGCTTGTGCAAGGTGGTGAGGTCAATAGCTTCACACTTGGCGCTCTCGACCGTCCGCCTGGTTCGTTCGACACGAGCACATGCAGGCGGGCGACGCGTTGGGGGTCGTGATCAAGGCGACGCCGCGGCGAAGGAGTGAGAACGTGAGGCATGATGCCTGCCCGTGCATCGTTACGACTTTTCTGCTTCCGATGATGGTTTGTTGATGCAAAGTTGAGACAACGCTTGACATAGCGTCGTTTTCGGCGGTGAAGTGCGTCAGGTTTTCGACGGCTCGGGCTGGGGAGAGGGAGGGGGTAAGAAAGTTAGAGCTGATACAAACAAACACGTCCACACGGTGACACTCGCACCAACAATCGATATCGTTCCCCGTCGGAACACGCCTCCTCCAACCGTTCTTGACAACACCCCCCAATCGAAAGGTACAACGAAGTCATGAAGGTCTACCGATGTAGAGCCTGTGGATCACCTGCAGCCAACAAGCGCACGCACGTCCTCTGAGCCTACCGTCTGGCCGCAACGTCGGCTCCAATGCCCCAAACTTCTGCTGTGTCGCCTTTGCTACACCCACCTCAGAGCCTTGTCGGTGCAGTCAGCCCTGTACAACGACAGCGACTCCCTCAGCGCGCTCTCTTCCTCGCCTATCACCCGTCGGGTGTACAACAGCGCCGGGCTCGAAGCCACCGCCACCGCCACCTCGACCGCAGCCGCCTCGACCCTCCCCCGGCGCCCCCCCGCCCCCCCGTCGGCTCTCCTCTTCTGGCCCCCTCCACTCGCCGACACCCCCACCCCTGCCTCCTGCTCTTCGTGTGCGCGAGCGGCTGCGGAAGCGCGCCTGATGGCCACGTGCATGTAGTACGCGTCCTCGTTGGCCGGGGTGAGCTCGAATCCGGCGAAGGGCCCGTCGAGCGGCCAGGCGTCGGAGGAGGCGGCGGGGCCCATAATGTTGTGCCGGGAGGCCTTGGTCTCGGCGGAGGTGAGGCGGTCCAGCAGGGCCTGTGCCTGGGGCCAGATCCGTTCCGCTCCCTTGAGAACGTCCCTGGGTTTCCAGTGTAACGTGCATTATTCGTGGGCGGCGGCCGCGGTGGCATCACAACGGGGGGTGGGGAGGAGTTGAAGGAGACTTTGGCACAGAACAACGGGGATTGAAGGTTCCTGGCGGAATAAAAGCATTTACTACTGTCGTCAGAAGAGAGACTTGCTGAAAATGCTTGCTGGGGAACTTGGTGGACAAAGGTATCGCGACGTGTGAGTCGCCCTGCCGATCGATGATGTTTGTTACCGCGCGTTTCAGCCCTCACGTACAGTACCCTATCCGTGCAAGCCGTTTCTGGTTGAGTGTTGAGTGAGGGGAGAAATGACGGTCGAGCAGAACTCGCGACAGGACCTTTTCGTGACACGACCCTGTTCGGAACACGCCATTGAGTGGACTGGAAGCGTTTCAGCCCTGCGACGACAAACAGAACCGCGCTCGGAGCGCGCGAACACAAAAGTGATGATGCTCCAAGACAACACATACTTTGTACAGCCCAGCACAAAGGCCGTGGCAGAGCACACGATGCCCGTCACCGTGACGTACCCGGCCGCCGTGTGGTAGACAGTGCCGGGATCGTTGAAGGTCCTCGCGTTGGCGCACAGCAGCTGCACGTCCAAGGCGAGCTGGTGAATCGACCCGTACAGCTCCCACTGCGACCGCCGCCGGATGGTCGAGAAATCGATCGGGTACTCGATCGCCTCCGCGTACCCCTCTACGCCGTCGGGCACGGGGTCCTTGAACAGGTTCAACGGGTCAAGCTGCTGGAGACGGTCGAGCGCGAACGTGCCCACCATGCGCAGCAGGCGCCGGCGTTCGATCGGCAGCTGGCCGGAAAGAGATTGCACCGCCCCCACGCCGGCAAGGCCGCCGTCTCTAGGACCACCGCCACTACCACCCTCGCCAGCTTCGCGCGACGTGCTGCCGCCACTCGTACCGCCACCGCTACTGCCGCCGCCGCCGCCGCCGCTTCCACCGCCACCAGCTCCACCACAGGTACCACCGCCGGTAGTACCGCCGCCGCCGTCATCACCACCGATGCTACCGCGGCCAACGATCTCGTCACCGCCAACACTCTTGCCACCGCCACTAGCTTCACCGCCGCTAGTACCGCCACCGCTACCGCTAACAGCTCTAAGAGGTGTGCCATCGCGGCGGGGTTTTGTAGCATCTACCCCTCCGCCCCCGCTGTTCGCTGAGCGGAAGGTAGATAAGACCTTCGCAGCCGGACCCGAAGCCGCCTGGCGGTGCACTTCTTTCTCCCGCGGAGCAGCGGCCGCCGGCAGCTAACCGTCGCATTGGCGGCACAATAACGAAACGAATGGTGGAATGGGGCGAGGGGGACGCGGGGGAAATGGTCATTTTCTCGTAACGGTGCTGGCTTTGCTAGCGACGGACAGGTTCGCCATGCCCGTGCGTAAAGAGAGGGTCAGCAGCAGGTCCACAAGCTGCGAAACTGTGCGCTGGGCAGGGTGTTCGAAGCTAATAGATATAGTCCCCGGAACCTTTGAAGCGTTCTCGACGACGACACGGCTGTGTGGTCTGTTCCCTGGAGGTTAATACGGACCACCGTTACAATGAATCAACGCGCGTGCCAACGGTAAAAGATTTCCCAAGCCACGACTAAAACGGTCACGAGGTGGTCACTCGAGCCCGAGCCGGTCGCGTGCGTACCTTCCATCCCTCTAGAGCCCACCCAGTCGAAGGCTTAGGCTTGCAAGACATACTGCTCTCAATCGTCCTCGCGTTCTATCGCCGCTCACAGTACCTCTGCCTACGCCTTTCGTGTGCAACGGAGCAGTTACGACTCAGGGTCACACAAACAGAGACGTCCAGAAACCATTATCCTTCGCAGTCCAACCTCGTACAAAATGAGTCACCTTGCCCGAGGAGGAGAAGGAGGAGGACGACGACGACCGCTTCACGCCCGCTTTGCCCGCGCCAGCAACGCCGCGGTCAGGCTCTCTGGAACGCCCGCCGCCCGCCGGCTGACCCCTCCCCCGCCGCGGGACGGGGCCGCCGGCACTCGTGGGAACTCCGTCTCCGGCCCGCGCCGCCCCGCCAAGAGAAGAAGGCGGGTGAGGTTTACGCTTGGGGCGCGCCTTGCGCGCTAGGCACGGCGGGCACTCCCACTGGTATATGATAGGTGGGGCACGACGACGAGCGAGATGACGAGCACGGAAATCGATGTCGGGGGGAGGCACAAAAGCGTCCCCGAACGTCGAACTTCTCTGGAGATAGCTCGACCGAACAAAATTGAACAATGCATGCATGGATCTCCGGCACGCGCAAGTTGTGGGGTTTCTTGCATGTATGCGCGTTTCCTCGGGGAGAGGTGTGTTGTACTCCATTGATTTCAAGCGCCATAACTGCTGTAAGGCCAGACGAGGCAGGCATATAGATCAGAGCACATGGCACCACCGAAACAACGCGAAGTCAGCGGGGCGGGCTCGGGGGCACCGCAGACAGAGACCACCAACAATATCCTGGCGACACAGCAGTCCGCGTCCTACCTTAACGTCGCCCCCGGTGAGATCGGACAGTTTGATGCCATTCTTCCTCTTCAAGCATGGGAAGCAGAAGGAGTGAATCTTCGCGAGCTCCGAGGTGGAGCAGACCATCAGGCCGCCGTCCGGCTGAAAGCGGCAGTACGTGCACACGTCCATCTTGCCCTCTTGGGTCGCTCGCATGTGCTTCAGGTTCCACATGCGGTTCTCCTTGCGCAGGGGATCGTTCTTCCCGAGAGTGGTTTTCTCGTGGTCGCCGCCGCCGCCGCCGCCGCCGCCCCCGCCGCCGGCAGTGCTTGCTTTCGCAATGGGTGGCGCGTTGTCTTGTTTTTCCTTCCGCGGCTTGCTACCTCCGCCGCCGGCCCCTCCGTCGTTGTTGCCAGTCGACGAGGGGGTTTCACGGGCGTGAATCGGCCCAATCCCCGAGCCAGCGCTGCCCTGCCCCGTCCCGGACCCTCCGGCGCCATACCGCACCCCGTTTCTCTCGCCCCCCTCCACATCCATGTGGTCGCTCACCCTACCGCTGGCTCGGGTTTGCTCCCAGCCGCCGGCGCTGCCGTCGCCGCCGGCGCGCGGTGCTTCGGTGTCTTGCTCCGGGAAGCCTTCGCTGGTGCCACTGTGGTCGCCGCTATACCTCGCTGCGCGCGCCGTACCTACTCTCCCCACGGTTTGTTCCTCCTCAACGCTACTCTCCACCGGTTGCGGTTTCCAGGTGAACGCACCGATCTTGAGGTCGGGCGACGGCACGCTCGACCGCCAGCCATCTCCCGCAGAACCGAAACCTCTCGACGAACCCTCCGCCCCCGCCGCCGCGTCCCTCTTTTCGGCCTGTTCGGTGAGAGCACGCTCCTCCTCGGCGAACTCCGGGTACCCGGCTTCTGTCGCTACCTCGCTCGGCACGAGCCCCATCTCAACCATGGTAGCCGCTAGGCCAGCGCGGAAGGGTCCCGTCGCGCGAGCGCCGAAGCTCACCGCTGTGCCGTCGAAGACCCTGGCCGGGCCCAGCGCTCCGGCGAAGGGCGCCCCGAGCCTCCGCTTATCGGTATAGGCGTGGTGCTTCGGCCTCTTCCCGGCTCGGGGCGAGAGGGGAAGGTGCGCCACCAGCGCTCCGAGCTCTTCGGCTTTTCTTGTGTTGCCGTCCGTTCGCCCCCTCCGGTTGCTGGCGTGGCGGCCGTCTCCCGGGATGCTCCCCGTCGTTCGAGGCACCCCTCCCTCTTTCCGTCCCAGATCCAGGGCTCCGCGGCCCGCGGCGCTCTTCTGTTGATATGGCGGCGTCGGGTTCCGTGGCCTCGGCCTCCTGATGGCGTGCCTCGCAACGATGTGCACGTACTTCTCTTCGTACAGTAAGGAGCGCAAGAGGAGGTTGTCCAGTTCGGGGGAGAAGACTTCAGCCCGACTGATGTTGCACGGCGGGTCAACGACAGCGTTGATGGTGACCACCGTCAACGGCACCGTGGATGCTGCTGCCGCCGCCGCCGCCGCACGCTTCGGGTTCTTGCATCTGGCTTTCTTTTCGCCGCTTGTCGTCAACGGTGAGATCGTCACAGGCGATGGTCCCTCCCGCCGGGCGCCGCCCCCGCCGGCCTTTTCCAGGGAAGACTGCGGTCTGGCCTTGTGGGATTTCTTCACCCTGGTCTCCTCGCGTTTGGCCATCTGTGCGCGATCCTCCGGGGTCCAATCGGGCTCTCTCTGCTCATTTTTCGGGGGGTCGCACGAAAGGTTTGCGCCATTTGTTTTCCCGGATCGTTGGGATGAGAGGACGTCGTCGAGACAAGGAAGAGCACGCCGACGAAAAGAAGAAGAGGGATGGGATGGTTTCAAGGTTTCCGAGCGGAAGGAAGCGTTTTGTTACACATGAGCGGGACCCGCTCCGTGACAAGACTATGTAAGCGAAGGAGGCTATCTACATGGCAAGGCTACATCTGCACAGCAGTTTCTGCAGTGGCCGTTTCGGATCGAGGGTTTGTAACCGTTTCGTGCGACACTCTTACCGTGAGGGGTGTGCGTCGGTTGTGTGTACGTCTGCTTAGTTGCTTGTTTGCTCCCTCTCTTGGGTGAACCTGTTGCGTATCGTCCACATCCATCGCACCCCCCAATGCACCACTGCATCGCGAAGAACGCCAAATGAATCCCCGCACAAGATGTTCACCCTCGAACAGCTATCATCACAAACGATGAAAGAGAGTACGGCTGTACCAAATGCGAAAAACCTGCATAGCCTAATATTCTGGCGAAGCGGCTGATCGTCTTTGAACTCGCCGCATGTACACCACTACAAGGTCAAGCTGCGCCGGGTTCCGTTCTCCGGAGAAAGAATCATAAACATGGGACGACGTTGCTCCACAAAAACAGATGATCAACTCAGGCTTACCCCGGCAACGAGATTGACCCGTCCGGCGTCGGTACAGGACGGGCAGTACCACGGGTCTTTCTCCGTTTGGTGGTGGGCGGCAAGGTGGCTGTCCGTGCCGATCGGGAGGCATTCCTCGTGGAACACCCGGGGGCACTGGTCGCAGCAGGTGATGTCGCCGGACTCGCCGCAGACACTGGCAATCGAGGGCGTGAGAATAGTGGGGGGCGGTAGCGTAGAGAGCGAAAAACACAAGAGGGTAAAGAGGTAAAAAGAGAAGAGCGTTCATCATAAACCACCGAGCGACCGCGCCGCTGGAAAGCCGGGGGAATGAACAGCGCGAGGATATCACACGCGTGCGTAGCGGCTGGAGCAGCGTTTTCGACGCACCCACACAACAAAACTCACCAACATTTTCGAATCAATAACAATCCCATTTCCACCACCCCCTTTTCCCTTTGCTGCCTCCGGTCACGTGCCCACCTGCAGAAGAAGTGGTTGCCATCTTCCCCGACCAAGGTTCCGTCTTGCGATACGCTCCACAAGGATACCCCCGCCAGGATTTCGTCCTTGGCCCCCTGAGACACTGCCTGCCCGCCCCAGTCCTTCCCTCCCCAAGCAGACCTCTTCTTCGCCCTCCCCTTGCCCTTTCCGACTTTCGTGGGACCCGCCCTCTCGCACCGTGGAACGGACGCGGTCGCTCCTCCGCCCGCCGCACTACCGCCACCGCCACGGCCACCGCTAGCAGCACCAACGCCGCCCTCTTTGCCCGCGGAGGGCCTCCGTGAAGCGGCGACGCGCGGTTGATGCTCCACCGGGAAAGCCTCGGCAGGCGTTGCGCCGATGATGCCGGCGCGGCTGCCGTTGCCACGGCGGCCGATGCTGCCGTTCGTGGAACGGCGAACCAACACCACGCAAACTTCCGGGCTATCGGCGTCTTTGGGGCGCTTCGACTTCACTCGCGTCCTTGGGGGCACACCGGTGGCGGCGGGCAGCGACCCTTGCCCCCCCCCGCCGGCGCCGGGCTGTGCTGCCTTACTCTTTGTCGACGCCGCCGGTGGCAGGCTCGAGGCCTTCACGTTGGGACCCTGCTTGTTAGCGGCCGTGCTGATCGAGAGCAGCGACAGGCCGGCCGGGGAGGTCGGGTTCGCACCGTGGGCAGCAGTACTAGCAGCAGCGCTACCACCATCACCACCACCCGCGGCAACGTCGGATCGGTGATTCGTGGCCGTTCGCGGAGCGGGAGCAACACCGGTGAAAGAGAAGACGGGGGCAACGCCGAGCGCGCCGCGGATGTCGCCTTCACCGCCGTCGCCGCCGCCGGCGGAAGTGCTGCTTGTGGTGGTTTCAGTCGTGGATCGAAAAAAGAAGGCACCCTTGAGCGAGCTCCACGTGGAGCGGGTTGAGGAACGAGATTCGTTCAAGTCCCGGCAACTTCTCTGTGGAAGAGGGTGCAAAGACCACAACCGGTGCGGTGGACCGCGCGCACCTTTCGTAGGAACAGCTACTACAGCGACAAGGACGATGACAAGGGCAACAACGAAACCATGCAGCAGCAGCAGCAGCAGCAGCAGCAGCGGCAACAACAACAACAATAACAACGACAACCAACGACAGCAGCAGCAACAACAAAGGACAACTAGACACTGCAACAGTCTGAAGACGCATAGGCACAGATCCAACGTGTGATATGTGCGATCAAACACGGTCTGCGGGACTTTTATGTCACCTAGTCAGTGATGACGAAGTGTCCGGCATGCTGGACATGGTGGCTCGTTCCAGCAGATAGCGTCGCCCCGAGAAAAACTGCAATGAACGGGACAACCAGTCAAACAGAGCCGGCGGTGACACGAAAGGGAATGAGTGCTCCGCCGAGTGCGAATGTTGTGTACGCATGTTGTGTGTACGGTGATGTCTGATACTTTCGATCGCGCTAAAAAAATTAGGTGCACTAGCCGGGGGTGCCCCCATGCACTCGGCGAAAGCATTTGCGACTGCTGTTGTCTACCGACTATTTTCGCTGCACTTGGCAACAGAAACGACGGCAAACAAAACCATATCCTATATTAAGAAAGGACAACTCCTTCGAGCTCTTCAAAACCGATCGGAATATCCAATATGGTGCTTTGTGTGCTCATCAAACTATACTATCATGCCCTTGGAGGATAGTACTCCGTGTACTGGTGGGCGACTACCTTCCCAAATTTAAATATTTGGCTCTGACGGGCATGCAGGAACGTTAACTTGCAGTCACCTACTACTGTGCAGCCACAAAGTCTCGAACACGTACGGTAGGGGGCGGGGGCGGGGGCGGGGAGAGAGAGAGCATGTGTGATGTGTGTTTCTTTAGTTAGCACCGAGAGCGTTGACCGGTTGACCAATGATAAGACGGTCAATATTATACGGTAGCGGGAAAAATATCGCTATCACGCCTCCTTGTCATCGGGCTCCCCCGACGGGGGGGCACGGAGGAATTTATTCCTACAACTCTGCACTTACTTGTCAAAATCAAGTTTCAATCCTTTCGGAATATTAAGACAAACATACCAGCCGGGGATACACAGGGCAAATCCGCACTATGAATCGATTTTCCTCCGCCCCCGCACCAGAAAATGAATAAGCAGCTGTCATCCGTAGGCAAGGAAATACGCAGAAGATGCCAAACAACCTTAGCAGGATGCGGCACACCCTTCATGCGACTCGCCGAATTCCTCACGGCGCTTCGTGTTTGGTTATGTGAGAGCCTGGTCCGGTGAGAACCCGGCATGCTCCGTCCCGGCATTGTAGGGATGCGAGGTCAATGGTCTAACGACTACGGCATGCACGACTATGAGTACACCCCTCCCCCTTCCATTGCCGCCGTGATTGCCTCAAAACACTGTCGCGACAAAGGATTAAAGTACCTGTTTCCCATCTTGCCTTAAAAGTCGATTTTCGTGTATACACCCTAGAAACTCTCGTTCTAGGGCGTGGCGTAGTAGCTGGAAAAAGCACCCAACAAAAGCAAAGCACATCCACCCATCCTATTTAACGTAGGGGCACCACTACCATATTGTACTGGTGCTGTATTGGGCGCTCATCTTCTATCTTTTCGTGACCTACAGGGTTGGTTGTGTTTGTGCTGTCTTGTGTCTTCGCATTAAGAATTACCCCATTCAGATAATATCCAGTACCTATTCTTTACCTACTATTCCAAAGGGCAAAATATCAAAATAACGACTTTCCGCCTGTCTCCAGCTAACCTCAAACAAAGCAAACAAGGAGCTTGCATGGGTTAGAAGTAGTGAGTTCTCTGGATATATATATGCCGCTGGAGGGGGGAAACGGTTTCTTCAAACAAACCTCTTGTATCTACAGGGCTAGAGAAAGCCAACACACTTACTACATAGATGAAATTGCACGATCCTATCCAACATGATGCCCGTGCGTAAAAAGGCGCCGGTCTTACCCAAGGTGCTTCTAGTTCGACCGCTGTCTCCACAAGCACGCGCCAGCGAAAAGATATCCGGCAAACCACGCTCTCTCTGTCTATGTACATCTATGCAAACTCACATGATATCTGGTGGGTAGCCAGATATCCAGCCAGCCTCTCTCGAAGCTAATATTTACCGGCGGACGGACCCCGTGATGAGCGGGCAGCCCTGTGGCCTGCTTCTACTACTGCTGTCGGATGTCACAAGACGGCGGCGGCAGTCCTCTCCCGCTCTCTCTCTCGCTCTCTCTCTTGTGCGCGAGTGGAAGGCGCGTTTTGGGGGGGAGACGGAGAGAGAGAGCGAGAGAGAGAGGTTGGGGGGGGGGTCTATAAGGTTCAAATTTGCCCCCCTGCTCCCACTCTCACCGTACGGTAGTGTGCGCACACAATCTTACGCATATTTACCAACGGAGAGCGGAGAAGAACACGTAGCATATCAGAAACATGACCGGAGCCATCATGTAGCAGCGTACGGTGCACATAGTATGGCCGTACGTACGAAGCGGACTCACCTCCTTCTTTCATATTTCGATGAATGGGCAATCTCCTCATCCAACGGGTCTCCAGTCAAGTACAATCCGAAAACGTCCATGATGATGCCCCAGAGAAGGCTCCTGGATGTCCATGAGAGCTGATGGATGTACCATATGCTAGAGGGCACCTGGAACCAGCCATGGTTGGTGGCAAGCAGTGGCAAAGCACTGTCGCAGCAGCATCAGCGAGTCGGCGGGGTTGGCGGTTGTGGTGAGTGATGATGGTACTGCTGTATGTAATAGTGGTCCGCTTGCTCTCTCTGTCTCTACCCTGATGGGTCCTGTTTGCGTACTGGTGTACCCGCATTCACACAAAATGGTTTCTTCTTCCTGCGGCGTATCTTCTTGTTCGTGGTGCGAGCAGCAAATCATTTTCACACCTCTCCCAACAAGGCCCCGGCAAAAAGAAACAAGGGGTCAGAGGGATTCGGACATCGGACATGCATGTCCTCCTTCAGACCACATCTCGCAGCTATCACGTATGTATGAGAAAGACGACCAGCGTTTCCTACCGTGGCACGGGTGCTTGGCATGGCGTGCCAAATCACCCCAGCCGCTGTTGTACTGCCATTGCCAAGTGCACCCAACCTGCCGAAGAAAGAGGAGGATCCACGAAGGGCCTGCGGCAGCGGACAGGTACAACACACGTCCGGAAAAGGCAAATAATTTTGAAATTCTTGACCCATGCACTGCTGTATTTAGTTCGTTGTGGTTGCTGCCGACAGCACCCTGGGTCCTGCAGCGTGGCCTACATGAACGTGAGCTGTTGTGTGTGAAGAGGCGCGAAACTGCTGTGCGTGTGTGCTTGGCATCACAGACACTACATACAGCAGTCTACAGCACATCTGCGTCCCACACATTATTTCCGAACATCGGAGCAACACACTGACAGATGTCTGCTGTTCACGCGAACCAAACACTCTCTGTTGGTCATTACCAACGTAACGAGGATGGGACGGTGATGATTGAAGCTTACTTCCCACACCACAACAGGTCGAGAGGACCACAGCAGGACCGCAGCGTAGCATGTGCTGCCTGCCTTGGGTAGACTATGCCTGCTGTATGTTTCGTACCATGCAGTTATCAAGCAGCATTGGAGCAAAATTTATCGCCGACACTAAAACTGTCCGCTGGGCATAGCTAGCTGACCGGCTCGTCAGCTCACCTCGGGCCGTTCAACTTGGTCGTTAGTGCGTGGTGTTGAAGAGTTCGAATGAATGCGGCTCAAATGATTTGTTTGCATGTAGACTATGCATGTCCCGACCGGAAACAAGGAAGGGTTCCATCAAAACCAAAAACTGTTCTTACAATAGTTCAGTCACGAACCATCGTCGCCGTCTACAGAACCGGCCCGCACTTAAGAACCTCTTATTTGGAGCGAGGCTCGCTTCTTGTTGGCTGCCCCAAGCGGAGCTCAAGTTCTTATTTGCCAGGTTCTTATTTCGTCGTCAAGTTGTCTCCAGAAACGGTGTTCTTGTTCTTATTTCATCATCGATTGCTCAATTGGTGCACTACTCAACTGCACTCGAGGCAGAGTTTCATACCCGCAAACTCCCCCCCATGGGGCAACTGTCAACCGTCTTGGTCCACAAGAGTGACGTTGGGGGTGCGTACCCTTCCCGCCCTACTGACGCTCTCAAGCAAAACCCATGAGCCTACCGCCGCGTCCGGATCTCCGCTGTACTTGTCTAAGGGCAGCTTCATCTTGCGCGTACTGTGGTCTACTTCCAGCTGCACACAGTAGTCGTACAGGTGGCGCTGCGGAGATTGCTGAATGATCAACCCACCGAACCACCCCATGCCCAGCCGAACAAGCACTCCACGTTGCAAAAGCAATCTGTCAAGAGCAGCGGGGGTAAATTCTTGAAGGCGAAAGCCCGCCGGGATCTCCATTCCCTGCGTCTCGTCCTCCGGGTCGTCTGGGTCCATGCTGTCGTCCTCGTCCAAAAGAGCTAGCTCGTCGGTCTGGGATTGAGACATGTCTGCGACGAAGGGTACCGTGAAACACGAGAAGGAACGTACGGGTGTCATCGCCGTTACTCAACTGAAGTGAACACACCATTTGTTCGTAGACGTGACGCGGAAACAGAATATCAGCAATATCCCAAACAGCACAAGGAAAGATGAACAAAAAGGACAATGAATTAACTGTAGTCTATGTAGTGCCAATCAAACTTACTGTCGTCGTCTTCATCGCTGTATCCAGCGCCCTCCATGCCCTCCCCGCTGTTGGCACCGTTGCGCTCATCCCCGACGACCGGCTCGCGCCTTCCGGCGCCCTCCTCCTCCTTCCCCTCGGGCCCATCGCTGCCGTCCTCCGAACCTCCTTCGTTCTCGCTGGAGTCTTCATCGTTTGCGAAGGTGTACGGCTGGTCCAAACCCTCCAAGGTGATTCGATCATCGCCTGAGCCGTCCACGGTCATCGCCATCCCGCACTTTTCGAAAAGGCGGTGTCGGTACCCCTGATTGCTGTTGAGTTTTTCCATGGCCGCTCCCGCCCATTGAGTGATCAGTACGCGCCGGTCAGAAGCTGTCAGCGACGCGGTTTCCCACCTCTCGATGTTGTCCGACTGATCGAGCCACTTGTCCATCTCGTTGCCAACTTCCACCTTGAGAAATCGTCCGGCTCCTGCATCAACTGGCTGCACCTCGTCCGTGCACTCCGCAGGGCCAAGCCAGGCGAGAGTGTTGCACTGCTTCGCAAGATACCCCTTGAACTCGTCCGTGGTCTGCGCGTGCAAGTTGTCCATTATCAGAATGGACCTCGCCTTGGGGAGCTCACCCCGCCCGCGGATCAGGCCTTCGCGGTACGACCTCTTGGCCCACTCCATGCAGAACTTTTGGTCCGCCCACGCATTCTGCTGGAAAAACACGTCCACGTCCTTGTGGTACGCGGCCTTCTCCACCGGCGAAATCCGCTTCCCCTGGCCTCGGAAAATCACCGAAATCCGCATAGTCTTCTCACCCGGACCAAAGATTACTTGCATGGTGCACTGCCTTTTCTCTAGGCCAGCAAAGGGCTGCGAGATGGCTACACGCAACGCGCCTGTTTTTTCCCACGTGCTGATCAGCCCGTTCACGAATGGCAAAGGCACTTGATCCACATTCCAACGCTCCCAGAGCTGGAACTGACCGTACTTGGGATCTCTGGACTCTCCCTCCGCGACCGTCGACATCGCCGACACGTCCGATGCCTCGGGTGCCCTGTACCGTACCGGCTCTTGCAGGAGCTTGCGAAACCGCCGGTGGAAGCGCTGGATCTTTGGTAGGCGCTCTTCAACAGACTTGTTCTTGAGGTTGCTCCTGCGCCGTTTGGACAGCTTATGCCTCTTTGCCCATTTTCGTGCCCACCTGAAGGACGCGCTGAACGCCGCCGCCCGTTGGTCCTCAGGGTGATTCTCTTGCACGAGCTTCCGGAAGGTGACCGTCAGCCACAGGGTCGACACCTTCAGCTTCCTCCTCCGCCGCGCCAAGAACATATTGTACAGCTTCTTCTCTTCCTCAGGAAACCACCGCTTTGGCTGCTGTTTGGCAAGGAGGGTCTTCTTCACGTAATCTGCTGCCGATTGGACTATATTGGCCTCGTCCTGAGCCCACTTCACGATCAGGCTGTAGTTAACCTTGAGACGGTCCTCTAAGTACTGGAGAGGCGTGAGCTTCTCCTCCTTGAAGAGGTCTGCGGCGTCTTCCTGGAGGAGGCGCAGCTGGGTCACAACATGGGCTTTGAACCTGTAGTCGTATCGCTTGCGCTTCACAGCTCCACGAGTCTCCTTGACTTTGCGGTCCGTAAAGCCGTCGCTTTCCAAGTCGAGATCGCGGAAGCGCTTCCGTTGGAGGACAAACGAAGCCGCCCCCCTGGCACCATCGACCTTCACGTGCCAACAACGTCCAGGCCCGGCTTCTTCCCACGGCTGAACATGCCCTTTGGGAGTCTTCCCCAGCATCCGCTGCAGCCGCAAGCCGTTGGACATGTTTGCATTGCTGTGCTGTGTTTTCACGTGGATCCCAAGTCCTTGCTCGTTCACGAAGGTCATGGGACAGTGAGTGCACGGTAGGCGCCGCTCTGGGGCCGGAGGTGGGAAGTTGATGCCCGACACATGCTCTGTGACACCACCGCGAGTCCGCTCAATCTGCACGGCGCGGTAGGAGAAGGGCGGAATTGAAGTGCAGGTGATTCAACGAGCTGTGGACCTGAAATTGCGTGGATGTCGATGGCAAAATATATAAATCTATGCAGATGGGGCGGGGGGTGATTACATGACCGTCTCTCGTGTGTTTGTATCACGGTGCTGCAAAAAAAAGGTTACAAAATACGGTTGGGACGGCGCTCGTGTACGCGTTCTTTTTCGCCACTGTGTCTACTGTGCCGTCCTTGCCTTCCTCAAAAACGTGAGGCAAACGGAGAATATTTGAAAAAGTTGTACACATACATATACGCCATGCTGAAAGTCAGTCGTTTACACCAACCTGTGACAGAGTAGTTTTTCTCTCGATTTTTCATTTCATCACCACCGCGTTCTTTTTTAAACAACAGCAGCAGCAGGAGCACTCTTGCTGTATCTACACTACATACATACAGCGGCTGGACCGCCGTACGACTGCTGTATATATGTACATCATCACAGCAACAGAGTTGTCAGACGACTGAACTCACCGGTTTTCCGCTGCCACGAGCGAACGCGTTGATGATGTTCCCACCTAGAACACCTTGGGCAGCTCGATTCCTGGCTTGCTTCCCCCGATCTGCGACCTTTCTCTTCCCGGCAGCCGCAGCAGTAGCAGGCGGTGGGTGCGAAGACGGTGCACCTCGCGCGCCGCCCGCATCTTGTGGCGTTAAAAACGACGGACGGGTGCTGGTGGAAATACCCTGGGCCTCTCCATCAATCTGCGTGATCCACTCTTCTTCGTTGAATACACCCGTCTGCTTCAGCCCCCATGCGTTCTCGATTGCGTCCCATCGCTCCTTCGCAACGGAGTTGCCCGCCTTCACATGTGCCTTTATCGTCTCGAAGTGACGGTCAAGAATCAGTCCTCGTTGTTTCAACTCCGAGAGTTTGCCAAGGTCCTTCAACAACCCATGGGATAGGGGGTTGGACAGGGACATGATCCCCCTGCACGGCAGGCAACTCGTGGCACGCTGCACCGCGTTGCGTGGTAAAAAAAAAAACTCGCTGGCACGGGACACGACGTGTATGAACAGCAGACCCCCACCTAAAAAAAAAATCTAAAAGTCTAGGTAGGTACCAACTACCTAGCAAAAAAACCTGGGAACGCCCCCCCCCCCCTCCTCCTCCATCTGTGTATGTTCTTCTCTCGCCACCGCCGCGTCATGTCGTATGTTCTTATCTGTTGCACCAGTCGTACACCTCACTGGAGGTTCTTATTCTTAACAGCAGGTCCGATCTGAGCACGTGTTCTTACGGGCAAATTCTTAAAAATTGGATTTTTTGAGGCTCAAATTCTTAACGTCCATATTCTTAAGTGCGGGCCGGTTCTGTACTGCTCTAGACTCTAGACTACTGCTCCACCACTCCTTCACTCCACCACGCCACCCCTACAATGCATAGAAGTACAACCCTAAAAAACGTCCTTTTCATCGGTCGTTCGGAATGATTTAGTGAGGGCTGGGGGGGAGAGGGGGGGCATGAGGGAGCTGGGAGTCGCACGGCGGGCTTGAATTTTATGTCATGCAGCTACAGTACCTTTGCAAGAGGGAAGTATTGTACATTGCGTACAGGCCAGTAGTTTCCCGACGTGCGAGACACTACGTGGCATGGACTATCTTTTTCTCCCACTCGTCTTCTTGACTCTCTGGATCGCCTTTTTTGCGCCATCACTCAACACCTGCTTCGCCATCTTCACCCTCTCCTCATCTTCTTTTTCACCTCGGTTGCCTGATAGAAGACCAAACTACATAGTGAAACAGCGCCAGCAAAGCGGTGTAGGTATTCGCCACGTTGACTGGCGTCCTCCACTTTTTCTTCCTGGTAACACTCACAAAAGGCTGCCGATTTCGTTATTCTTGTTCCGGCCACGACAAACCCGAGGCTTCGAATGCCGTCGCTGTTATGACAGCTTTCTTCAACGCGGATAGGAGGTTGTGAGCGGTCAAGGTGGATCTTAAGCCAGCTGAATACACCCGGAACAAGAATTGCGCCCGGAAATCGCCACCCTTGTGTGTGTAGCCAGAAAGAAACAGAGGGCGGGGTGTGGGATGAGTGAGACAGTACCATCAAATATTTTCATTTCAGCAGTACAATCTAACAGTCCACCAAACTCGCCAGTGGACCATACCCGTTCGGGTTCAGAGGCGAAATCTTCGATATTTACTGAAGATTACTCATCATCTCATCTTGTTTTTCGTTTTGCGGGGACCTTGCCCAAGCACTGTCAACGCCGAAGTGTGTAGGGTAGAAGACAGCGTCACCTCTTCCTGGCTACATCACAAATGACTGGTGATTTCCGGGTGCCATTGTTCTTGTTCGAGGCGTCTTGGCTGCGTTACCAGTCCCCTTGACCTCACACCTCGTCCTGCGCACCGTGTAGCGAGTAGCCGTAGCGGCGACGTCATTGGAAACCTCGGCTGTTGTCGCGGCGACAGGCAACAAATGTCGAGGCTTTCAATGCCGTCACTGCTGCGGCAGCCAGCCTCAAGGCAGACAGGGTATTCCAAGAGGTCAAGGTGACTCGTTTAGCCAGCCGGATCGCTCGGAACAAGACAAATGGCGCTCGGAAACCGCCACCCCATTGTGAGAGTAACCAGAAAGGAGTAGAGGAAGGGATGTGGGATGGGTGGGACAATAGGTGCCTTAGGCAATCAAATATTTTTACTCCAACAGTGCGTTCAGGTATGTGAAACATATCTAACAGCCCATCCAAACTCGCCAGTGGACCATACCCATTCGGGTTCAGAGGCGAAACCTACTCATCTCATCTTGTTTTTCGTTTTTGGTGGACCTGCCCAAAACATTTTCAGCGACGACGTGTGTGGGGTGGAAGGCAGCGCCACCGCTTCCTGGATACATTCACAATCGGCTGGTGACGCCGCCATTGTTCTTGTTCCGGGTGTATTCGGCGGCCTTACCAGCCACCTTGACCTCACTCAACGCCCTGTCCGCTTGAGAGAACTGTCGTAGCGGCGACGTCATTGGAAGCCTCGGCTTTTGTCGCGGCGACACAAAAAAACGAGGCAACAAATGTCGAGGCTTTCAATGCTGTCACTGCTTCGACAGTCAGCCACAAGGCGGACAGGGTGCTGCATGAGGTCAAGGTGGTTCGTTTAGCCAGCCGATTACGCCCGGAACAAAACGAATGACGCTCGGAAATCGCCACCCATTTGAGTGTAACCAGAAAGGAGTAGAGGAAGGGATGTGGGATGGGTGGGACCACAGGTGTCTTGGCTTATCAAATCGTTTCACTGCAACAGTGCGTTCAGATATGTGAAACAAATCTATATATAATAGTCCATCTCCAAACTCGCCAGTAGACCATACCCGTTCGGGTTCAGAGGCGAAATCTTCGATATTTACTGAAAATTACTCTCATCCCATCTTGTTTTTTCGTTTTTGGTGGACCTGCCCCAAAATGTTTTCAACGACGACGTGTGTCGGGTGGAAGGCAGCGCCACCTCTTCCGAGTTAGACTCACAATCGGCTGGTCGTTTTCCAGATGTCATTGTTCTTGTTCGGGGCGTATTCGGCTGCCTTACCAGCCACCTTGGCCGCACACAACGCCCTGTCCGCTTGAGAGAACTGTCGTAGCAGCGACGTCATTGGAAGCCTCGGCTTTTGTCGTGGCGACAAATGTCGAGGCAACAAACGTGGAGGTTTCCAATGCTATCGCTGCTCCGCAGGTCTTTGAAGCGGACAGGGCGTTGTGTGAGGTCAAGGTGGCTCTTGAGGCATCCGAAAAAGCCCCGAACAAGACGAATGGCGTCCGGAAATCACCAGCCAATTGTGAGTGAAACCAGAAAGGAGTAGAGGACGGAATGTAGGATGAGTGGGACAGTAGGCATCTTGGCTGTTCAAATATTTCACTTGAACAGTGCGTTCAGCCGAAAGAACACACCTGAGAAAGTATTGGACCTTGAACACGACAAAGAGCCACAGGTCCAATCGAAAAACTAATATCAAAATTATGCCGAAGGAAGTCTGAAAAGGACCATGGCTGAACAATGGAATTCATGCCGAAAGAACACACGCGACAAAGTATTGAACCTTGAACACGAAACACAGCCACAGGCAGCAGGTCTAATCTAAGAGCTATTTCGAATTGATGCCGAAGATAATATCAAAAGTTACCAATCAATGTACATGAAAATGGTAGGAACTTGTGGCTGGGATGTTGAGACGTCCGCGACTAGGTGATTGGCGTTGATCGTGTCATGTGCCCGGCGGTCTGTGAAGGCTGGCGACGGTCCATGACAGCTGGTTGGTGGCCAATGGGCCGTTGTGTGAGTTTATCCTATGATGCGACTCCCAGCACAGATGCGAGCTGCGTCGGAACGAACGTGTTGGTGACTCTTGGCGTTTTTTTGTGTTGGAAACATGCTTTGGATAACACCTGTATTCAACGCATCGAGACGAACGTGTGATATTTGGTCGAATATTGCCTTTCTTTGTAGTTTTGGACCTCTTGTTAATCGTTTGAGATTCGGATGCATTTATCATACGTGGCCGATCGCGACCTCCAGTCGTGCCCGAGGCTTGTCATACAGACTCGGAACTTGGAACTGCCACAACACGATGCTGAGTAAGTGATAACCCAATGCAGTCTTCCGGGCTTCAAGCTGTATGTACAACAATCAGTGTTAAGAAACGGTGTGCGCTATCATCATGATTCTCGAGTTCGACATCCTGGCGAAGAGCCGCCTCTTGGCCAAGTTGCGTAACGCATAGCACACGTTTTCTTGTGGTACTCTCAACAGCAACTTGCTGGAGGGCCTCGAATGTGAAATAACCCCCACCGAAACCCAGTGAAAATGCGGTCGCTTTCGAGGTCGAGCACGGCGCCACCTGAATGTCCCCGCACTTCCCTCCCCTCCCTGAAGAAAGACATCTGAACAACATTACAAGTAGCACCGACCTTTTACAACGACGGCGACGACGACAGTGATCTACAAGCGGCCCGTAGTTGATTGTATTTCTTTTCATACACTCTCGTCTTGAAGACAACACGAAGATACGGCTTGACACAATGAACCCAGTAAACTATAGTAGCCGTGTTGTGAGCCCCCCCCCCCCCCCCCCCGGAAAAAGAACACTCGAAGACAAATACTTTCGTATGACCTTTAGCTATTGTTTTGCGATCGCACTTTCATAAGATTATCCCCAGTGCCGCGGCACCGGAGGTAGTGAGCGGGTCGGAACCGCAGCGCGACGGGCCCGGGTCGTTGCAGGCGGCGGCAGGTGCATGGCCGGTGTAACCGGGGTTGTTGTGACGGTAGAAGAGGCGGAGGTCCAAACGTGGCCGTCTCGAGTTCTTCATGTCGCCATGCTCGCGAGCGCGAAGGTTCATTTTGCTCGCGGGTATGAAACCGCCGTATCCCGGTACCTGTAGAGAACATCACGAGCAATTAGAGTTTATTGTGGTTGTTTTGTTGCGGGGGTAAGTATTGCGCGGCGAACGGGGAACACGGGGGAAGTCCGATGGGTCGAGGGGGCAGGGAGATATCATCAACATCATCACAAACAAAACAAGCTCTGACGGAAGCGAATCGATCTCACTCGGCCCCCCGGCGAAAACACTAGCGGGTCGATAGGTGGTACTCCCGAACAGAAAGTAGAAGCCGTTCAATACGCGTCACTCCTTCAGCCCCCAAGGAGCACATGTTCCACGGATCAACCCGGGTGTAGATTAGACTCTGAGATGAAACACAGAACCCAACGTCACTGCTCCTCCATCGCCGACCTCTTTCCCCCTACAAATAGTATCAGGTGGTAGGATAGAGAGGACCTGGTAGGTGGCCTTCGTGGTGCCTTCGAAGAGGTCGAGGGTCGTCGAGGACATGCCGGTCTTGTACCAGATCCTGCGGTCGCGCGGTATCTCCCCGTCCTTGCCCATGTCCATCTGGTAGCAGCTCTCCGTCACTTGCCCGTGCGTTACCGCCGGCATGACCTGTTCCGTGCCACAGGCCATCATCGCCAACGGTAGAAAGAAACGGGTGTCTTCCGTGATGGTATGTTCAGAGAGAAAAATATGATAACGGAGCAGCGTTTCATGAGAGGAATTTTAAGCATGGCACCTCCTCTATCTCTTCGAACATATGGCGATGAGCACAAGAATATTCAGGAAGGGTGCTCTGTGCAGTTGCTACCGCCGGGTAGAGACCAAGGGATCAATATCGAACAAACTAGGTACTGAAGAGGTACCTTTCTGTTGGCGACGAGCCATTCTGGCATCTCTCTCTCCTTGTACGACACGTCGGACCTGGCCGACTCCGCCACCTTCCTCAGTCCATCCTGGAGGTCGAGCCAGGTGACTTTACCGTCCCTGACGTAGATGTTTAAGGTATGTTGTGAAAGACTTTCGGGTAAGCGTTTTCAAGACATCGGCTGAACTGGCGACCCCGATTGTTTCTTCGAGCACCTCACGAGAGCACCATCCAGCCTGAACCTGAGCCTCTGATTACTTTTTCAAACAGAAAACACCACGCAGGCCCTCAACCCTACTACACGGAGAAGTATTCGACCAGGGTGTATGTTTGGCGCCGACCAGAGACTGATACATGTGGTGGCCTCGAACGTCGTGCGCACCCAAACACCAAGGGTGCAGAAAACACAAGTCTCCCAGCAAAAACTCCAAGAGGTATCTAGTTCTAGCAAGCCTCTCCCACAGACTTCGTTTATCACACAGCTTTCTCGCCGACTCAGGCAGCACCACCTTAATCGCTAGGCTTTCCCACTAGTGCAGTACTGGTACCTTTTCGCCTCAAACATCTTGAGGATACGGTCCAGGATCCAAGGGCGCACGTCGCGGCCAAGCACACCCTGGATGAGCTTCGGCATGTCCCGTATGTGGACCACGCCGTTGCCCGCGTCTAGCCTGTCAAACTCCCGCTTGAAGGCGTTCTCCCCGTCGCGTTCCCCCCCTCTTGGTCCCTCTCCCCCGTCCAGTCCGTCTACCTCCTGTTTGTTTTTTTGCGTGGCACGACCGTTCACGCCAGTTTTGTGTGGACAATAAGAGAGGAATGCAGTAGTGCAAGATGGTATTAGGAGTAAAAGGGCATTATATCTGATGTACATAGCACCCGTGTACATCGGCATGCAGCAGTAGTGGATTTCGCAATCTTGGTTGATGCGGTTGTTGTCTCGATCGTTGACTGGCGGCGATGGCCAGCAAGGGCCAATAACGGGCAGCACGTCGCAAAGGACTGATGCTACGTTAGGGGGGTGCACTTCCGTGGTGAAATCTTGCACTTTCGGGAGAAAACGTGGAGTCCTGTTTCCGTGTTTGAACAGCGAAATACGACGCGGCCAAAAAGTTCAAGTAGACTTTGTCCCCAACGTAAGATGACGTGACGCCCCTACCGCAGCATTACTCAAAGGTAATGCTTGTGTACCACACCGTGCAGGTACCAATGTTTGAAATCTTTTCGTCGGCGGGTTGTATCACCCAGAAATGGTATGGTTCAGCACTGCTGAATATGAACGGGGGATGTATATGAGAAAATCGTCCAAAAGTACGGTATGTTCTCAGCGGTTGATGGTAGGATCGATTTAGAGCGAATACTCTCGCGAATTTTCTGCTCAGGAGAACAGCTCTCCTACATACGCAAGTCACGTCACTATACTAAATAATAGATTAGGTGGTCATACGCTATACGTTTTGACCGACACGTACAGCTGCAACTCGTATTCGACGGGGAAAAGTATTGCTTCTGGGTCGATCGCCTTACGTCGGAGAAGTTCCTGAAGTCGTGCTCGTACAATGAGTCGTGAAGGAACGGCTTTGACCTATCCTGTGGTTTCGCCGAAAAGTGCTTGGCAGAAACCCCTCTGCGTGGATGACAAAATTGCCATATTATCCATTGTTGGAGGTTCGAAGGGAGGTCGCGGGCGTGCGGGCGTGAGGTGTGAGGGGGCGGGGGTCTCATGACGTGGTCGTTAGATCAGTGACTTCGTACCCCTACAACGCCGGGACCGAGCGATATGCCGGGCTTTCGCCGGCTCAGGATACATTTCTGAAGGATGGGCCAGAAGCTGATCATCATCCTAACTATTCTCTTGTTGTTTAGGGAAACCCGACAACGTTCGACCTCAACGGTTGTGCATACGGACATATGAGAGCACGTTTGGGCAGGTAGAGTAGAACCACCGATGGTCCGGGACCACCTCTACGGCTTTGTCAGTGAATAGTGAAGTTGTACGTGTTGAGACCGATCGTCACGGGTTCCGGCAAGAATCGTCGGGGAAGCCGTCCGGTGCTGCCAGCCTTACAACCTTCTGTCACGCTAGACACTCCACAGCTCTCAACGTACTGCTGTTTCGTACACGAACGCGAGCGACTACGTGTGTTCCGCCCGCGGCATGTCCGGATGTTGTGTCATGTAAGTTGTTTTTTTGTTATTGGACGACGAGTGTACACTGCGTCTCTCACTGCGTTGTGAAACGGACTACTCAAGGGTCCGCCACCCCATTTCGAAGGAGCATAGCTTGGGTGGTGATGTGCGCTCTTATCTGGAAACTCTGGCCAGAGCGTGCACAAACCTGACGTAGATATGTAGTAAAGGCACGTGTTCTCACCGTCTGTCCGGTACTTGGTAGTCCCCCCTGGTAACGTTTGAGAACGCCTCGCTGCTGCAGGTGGTCATGGTGGGAGGGGCCAGAGCTACCCCGTTCTCATAGGCGACCCCCCTGCCCATCTTGGAGTACTTGTTGTCACGACTCTCATAAGTTTCGCCTACCGCGGGGGGAGGAGGGTGAGGGGGCAAGAACGACGGTCACGACGGAGGGGGGAGATGGAATGAGGGTCATCATGCGTAAGCCATAGTCCCTGAACCTACAATAATATCAGGACCGCGGCACATCCTGTTGTTTCCCGTGTTCCCCTGACGTCGTTGGCCCTTCGCTGACCGTGAAGACTCCCACGTACCAATAGGTAGAGTCGTTCTCCTCTGACATGTGACGATGCGCAATTTACCACTCACTACCTCTCTCTCCGTAAGACAGCATATTGTTCAAGGGACCAAGCTGAACGGTGTGAATGTTATGCGCGGTCTTCGAATTCCTGCCCACCGGTTAGTCTCAACACCACCGCTGCACTCAAAGCTAGAGAAAATGATCCACAGCGCGGACAGATGTAGATGTCCCTGTTACTGAGGCAATGTTCTTTCGTGTTGAATTTCATGTAATCCCCGGTACTGCATGCGAGCGCAGTGTGCGATTCGGTTGTTCTCGTTGTCCCACCCATGAGCCGGCGTTGCTCGCAGTTTTTAGCACCTTCTCTATGGTCTCTCTCTCTCTCTCTCTCCCTCTCTCTCTCTCTCTCTCTCTCTCTCTCTCTCTCTCTCTCTCTCTCTCTCTCTC